TATGAATCATATTTTTACAAACAATAATTAAAATTTAATAATATTAAGATAAATGGTCAAATCTTGTCGCAAATACGTCTTGTCGTTTTGATACGCACTTGAAATGCTATTAAAATGTTAAATTTTAGTACTGAATCAAAAGAAAATGTCTCTTTAATCCATTAATAATAACTTAAATATGCTTTTTGTTAAGATGTATACCTGAAAATGTGTGCATACATATTTGCGTTAAATGCAGTACACGTGCAATGGAATAAATTTGTAAAAGTGTAAAATACGTAAACGTATGTACATATACAATAAAACTTTCTCATGAATACCATAAAATCATTGGTCTTGAAAGGAATGTACTAAGAAAATATATGAGCGAATTAAAAAGTGTATACAATATATAGCCGAAAAGTACATTTTTTGCATAGATTTCGTACTGAAGGAACAATTTCATGTCCCAACACTGATACAGACTGTAAGCAAACACAGGGTTGCAAGGAAAAAAAGTTGAACGAGCTCAAAGTTGGCTGGCGACCAACTTTGTTGAAAGCGATTAGTTGAAAGGCCGTTCGGACGAGATGATTTTTGCTTTAAACTAAAAGTTGCCTGAAAAATCGCCTCGTGCTAAAGCCCTATTAGACTTTCGATGTGGTTTCCAGTTCGTTTTGATGAAAAAACGAAGTAGAACAAGTTGGAAGAGTTATTTGCAGTTCATTATCATTTACGATGGTAATCTGTATTAGTATCTTAAATAATACAGAATAATTTGCATTTTTTTACACTTTTGTAATTAATTTCGGTCACTACAACACAGCCATGACTTGTGCCACTCTGCCATTGTCCTGTTGTTGCTCCTTCTCGTACCACAGTAATTTCGTATACAACTCTGAATCAACAAAATTCATGCTCCTTCTTATTATCAATCCTGGTCAGATTTCACTCCCGAGGACTACTCAAAAAGGTTTATTACTGTATATACTGTGGTTACTGGAGAATTTAGATTACAACAAAAACAACCACATGTATTTCGATTGCGGGCAAGGCGAATTTATACAAGGTGGTGTTGTAAAATCAGCTGATTTCTTCGCCTTACATGTATTTTGTTTTTTCTTTTACTGATTTGACAGCACAGCCATCAAAATCAAAAACAAAATACATGTAAACTTTGAAGCGAATTGAGGTTTGACATAACACCCGCAATACAAAATACATGTGGTTGTCGTTGTTGTAATCTAAATTCGCCAGTAACACCACCTTGTATAAATTCGCTTTGATTGCGGGTGTTATGACAAATCTCAATTCGCCCATGTATTTTGTTTTTGCTTTTGATGGGTGTGTCAAATCAGTAAAAACATAAACTAAATCAGGCAAATAAGTATTTATTAGTCATGCTATTTGCAAATAAGCGCAAGACGCCGCCATTATTAGGTTTATTGTCTTTTTCGATGGTCATCTTATTGCCTTTTTATAATCAAGACTTTGCCCTCTTTAACTTTATTTTCTTTTTCGAAAGTCATAATCAGGCAATATTAAAAAAGAATTTTTCACCGTCGAATAACCAGTGAGTTCAAACAGGGCAATTAGCTGAGGAAATTAATAGGGCTTTCGCACGAGGCGATTCTTCAAACAACTTTTAGTTTAAAGCAAAATCGCCTCGTCTGAACGGCCTTTCAACTAATCGCTTTCAACAAAGTTGGTCCCCAGCAACTTTGAGCTCGCACTTCTCTTTCGCATCGCACTATAGAGTAGCCCCCTGTCAAATGCCCAGTCAACAAAACTCTAGTACCCCAGGGGCTCTATTCTGTAACTGTGAGTTTTCAAGTGTACACTGAAAATTGTGTGCACTCTTCATTTTGCGATTCAGGAAGAGTGAGTATGAGTTTTAGCTGTCAAAATTGTGTACACTTCCTCATTTTGCGATTCAGCATGTGTGAGAATGAGTTTTAACTGTCAAAATTGTGTACACTTCACTTCCGAAAAACTCACTGAATTTTAGTCGGTGAGTTTTTGGTTGTGAGTTTTGCACTCGGTGTACACTACATTTTCTCACAGTTACAGAGTAGAGCACCAGCTCTAATACCTAGCTGTATTCACTTGCTTGAAAGTCTCGCTTGCGTTCTGCTTTTTTCTCTCGCAAGCGAGATTTGCAAGCAGGTATTAGAGTTGACGTACTATTGAAAATACCGCCACTCGTTAGTTTTCGAAACGATAGTCGAAAACAACTATAGTATCGATGGTACTATCGTCGTGAAAGGTATTGAATTGAAACGCTCAATTGCTTTAAAATTAATTAAAAACCTTGAAATTTTAATGATTTTGTAATTTTTTATGTTTTGTACAATTTTATAAAAAATTAGTAGACACTAAACAAACAAAAAAAAAAATTGTCAAAACCAAAGAACGTAGATAACAAGAAGGGACAACTCGTTATAATTGTCAAAACTGCTAAAAATGTTGTGGTGCCAAAGAACGTAGATAACAAGAAGGGACAATTCGTTATAATTGTGGCGAAAGTGTACAACAGAGGCGTGCCTCTCCTTTCATCCAATCAAAACCCGCATTAGGGCATAAGAAAAAGCATGCCCCTGTTACGCACTTTCGCCAAAGAACGTAGATAACAAGAAGGGACAACTCGTTATTATTGTAGCGAAAGTGAGTAACAGGGGCGTGCCTTCTCTTTTCATCCAATAAAAAACGTCCTAGAGCAAAAGAGAACGCACGTCCCTGTTGCCCACTTTCGCTACAATTATAACGAGTTGTCCCTTCTTGTTATCTACGTTCTTTGCTTTCGCTACAATTATAACGAGTTGTCCCTTCTTGTTATCTACGTTCTTTGACTATACTAACTGTACTATAACTCAGTGTAAGCTTATAGTTGCTAAAAATTTTTTTTGTCGACTGTGTTGTGAATATTCTTGCAAAAAAAATTAATGGCGCGTATTCATAGTCCAGCCACTAAGTCGAAACTAATAAAGTTGTAAATTAAATGTAAGTACCAACTTAAAATTTACCTANCTCTTTTCATCCAATAAAAAACGTCCTAGAGCAAAAGAGAACGCACGTCCCTGTTGCCCACTTTCGCTACAATTATAACGAGTTGTCCCTTCTTGTTATCTACGTTCTTTGCTTTCGCTACAATTATAACGAGTTGTCCCTTCTTGTTATCTACGTTCTTTGACTATACTAACTGTACTATAACTCAGTGTAAGCCTGTGTTGTGAATATTCTTGCAAAACAAATTAACGGCGCGTATTCATAGTCCAGCCACTAAGTCGAAACTAATAAAGTTGCAAATTAAATTGAAGTACCAACTTAAAGTTCACTTCTATTCATAGTCGCATTTCGGACTTCTACTAAGTAGTTTTGATTTAGTTTTACGATATTGCAAAACGAGTGTGAAAATGTATCGATTTTTTTACGATATTTTGGAAAAATTACATTTTTATTTAATAATGTCAAGTTTGATCATCCGTTTATTTAATTTTTACTTTCATTGCATGTTTATGCAAAAAATAAGGTATAAGTTTCTTGTTAATTGTGTGAAATAGCCAGAACTACCGCAATGATTGACCTAAGGCTGGTTTTCACTGTGTCATATTTTGACATCAAAATTTGTCGACATATTTTGACACAAGTTTATCTCTTTCATCCGCACCTTCGCTGATGATATTATGGGCCAAAAGCGAACATATAGCTGGTAGAGCAACGCATGTATACGACTGAATACCTATCCTGATCTAACTCAGTCGATATACCGTTTTCTAATCGCATTTGACAATGTGTTTTCATTTATTTGAAGACATATGTCATTGAATTTGACAGAGTGAAAACAAGGCTTTACGCTTTTTTTTGATACATTGTGAAGTTTCGCAAAAACCGACATCGATAGTTTCCAAAAACTATCGATAGTGGCGACAGTTTTCAACTATCGTTACTATCGATAGTATCCCAGGTCTAGGAAGCTCCACGGGAAACAAACGATAAAATAAACGTAAAAAGTAAAATATGAATAGCGAAGGTAAATAATTGCTAATATAAAAATGTTACAATATTCAATTTCACAAATTTTTAAAGATCTAACAGACATCCTAATTGAAGCACTGGAAGTATTCGTTAATCACATCATTTATGTACGCGGCGTATATCCGGAGCAAATTTTTAAAAAGCGGCGCGTTTACAATGTCCCTGTTTATGTGTCTATCTTCCCTAGTCTTAATTCCTACATTCTTAATGTTCTAAAAGCAGCGCGTAGTCTACAACAACAAGGAGAATTAGAATGTGTCTTACTGCAGTTCTATCATGACGAAATACCTCTGAACGAGTGCTACAAATTCGATATTAAACAATTGCAGCAATTCATCGAATTTCCGGAAAGGGAAGAAGCGGAGCTACCGATGCTTCATGATAGGTTCCTAATTGATTTTGAACAAGAATTGCGGAGTTCACTTTACAAACTAGCCGAACGGTTGAAACCTCTGGAAAAGCTACCAAAAGGTGCCAAATTCAAGGTGTCACTAAATACGACACAAGAAGCATTTGTAAAATTTAGTCACAATCCATACTATCAGGTAAGAAAATAGAGAAAAATTCGTGGGGTTTGAACAATAAATATCTTATTTATTTAAGGACTTCCCTTGGCTCTGTGATCGCTTAAAATTGGAACAGGAGAAACGTGTAATATCGCTCCTACCACTTACCCATTTATATAGCATAGGATTAATCTTGAACTTAGAAATATTTTAATTTATTTACATATAAAAGACAAATATATATTACTTTTAAGAGGATTTATATAACTTTTATGTATGTATTTTTAAACATTCCATATTTTTACAGCGAATAAATTATGTATTAACCTCGTACTATTCTTAAAGTAATCCTTGGCGCTTCAAGTCTTCATATGTCTTACGGTTAACTACATTGCCCAAAGAATCTTCAAATTCTTCCTCCTGATCAGCTATCCAGCGTTCACTTTGCTTTTGTGACTTGAGTTTCTCCCACAATGTGATAGCGTCTTCGATTTGTGTCACATTGGCAAAATGTGCAGTGTTTGGAATACCAAGACAACGCATCCCGTGCGCATGTCGCCATTCAGCAAAATGTCGTTGAAATGCTTTTGGACCTTTGTACGTATAATTGCCACAAATTTCGCAATTATAACTGATATTTAATCCGTGCAACTTATACAACCAGTAAGGTATTGGTTTGCCATCCCAGCCAAGAGGCAAATTCTTAGGGTTGTAAGGAACATCATCTGCATCGTCTAAATCATCATTGTCACTTTCGCTTGCTTCGACATCGCTGTCATCGCGCTCTCCACCTGTACGCGCCTGTTTGCGTTGCACATTTTCTTTGGTGGCAGCTCTTTGCTCCGACAATAAATCTGCGTACTTATACAACAAAGCTTCTAATTGTGCGATTTCCTTGTGACGCTCATTATCACGAGAGTGCACATTCGCATTTTTGTTTGCCGGTTTCTTTGCTATTAAAGAGGGGTCTAGAGTCTTCTTTCCTTTCGTTGAAAAAAGTCTTTGAGCACGTTCTTCCAGAGTGCCACCACATTTCAAGCCTAAAGCCATCAGCGCAGATTTTAGTCGATCTAGACCAAGTGAAGCCAATTCCTCCCAGCTGGAAAATGCCGACAAATCTAAATGGGCACCAGTGTTGGCCAAAGCGGATTCAGTTTCCTTGGTTGCCCAGCCTGTACAGAATTTGCTTAATTAAGAATACTAAAATAACAGTTATGATTTTACCTGGAAAAGTTCCCTGCAACCACTGACGTTGAAACTCCAGCTCCACCTTAACTAGTTCAGCTTCGATATCGAGTAAAGGATGTATACGCGTTACAAAAGTGTGCAAATAGCCATTTAGGTTTTCAATATATTTTCGATATTCACGATTTTTTCGCTCGCGAGGAATGTCAAAGACGTGATCAAAAGTCATTAAATAAGTGATATAATCTACTTTTTCCACGCCACGAAGATTTAGATATTGTTCGTAGCATTCGTTAAGATCTAGATAGCGGCCACCTCCCTCCTCGTCGGTGAATTCAACTAAGGCCGACATTTCATCTAAATTATTATAAGCTTTTGTGAGTTCTTCAAATTCAACCGAAAGCGGGACACTTATCTCTGACGGATGCTTTTTATAGAATTCCTTTATCTGCTTCAAACGTGCATAGAATTCATTAAATTCATTCGGACCTGAAAGGGCTTGGATTTCGTCTTTTCGCTCATTGTCTTTATCTTCGTAAAGCTCCTTTAACTTTGCGGTCGAGTTATTATAAAGATCCAGCAAGCATTTCAACCTCTGCTCCGAGTGAATACGCTCCTTTTCGCCATTCTTCTTGGTTGCATACTCGTCTACCATTAGTTTTATTAAACGTTCGCGTTCTTCATGGTAGCG